AAGTAGAATCTTTTGAGCAGAATTCTTTGGCTGTTGGATCAGCCAAAGGTCCTAAGATGGGCCAATTCAAATGAAGCCTGAAATAGACTTCTCTAAACAGCCACAGTTTGAAATAGGTCTGGAGCCTGAGGCCAGAGCGAGATGGTGGACTCAGATCTCAAGCAAGGAATCAGTGACTCCTAAAAGTCTGACATGCAATTTCTTCCCCCAGTCCCTGTATTTATTTTAAAAATTTTTTCCTCCTTCTGATGTGCAATTTCTTGATCCCAGGAGCCCCTTTGTAGCTCAGAGAGTCACTTGATTACAGTATGGCTCATTCCTATAGTTCCCAGAGCTATACGAAGCAATAGCTCTTGGGACTATATTTATGCTATATCCCATCACATTCCATTGGAAAGCTTACCATTTAACCAGCTGGTTGCACCAGAAGTGTCCTTAGCTGGATAACCAAGGGCTGACCGTTTACTCAAGTTCACTAAAGTTTTTTGCTGAGTTTAGGAAACAAATTAAATATCCAGCTGGGATCACTCAGGACAGAAACAAAGTCTCTCAATACAGGTGGCCTCCAACTCACAGTCCCATGACGGCTCCCATAGAAAGCTCTTAGCTGGCCCTGGCTCCTTTCTCTCCATAGGGAAGAGGGTCTCCTCATCATCACTATGAGGATCTGATGGGGGAAATTCCGCAGGAACCATGTGAGCTTAGAAGATGGGGGAAGGGGAACCTGGGAAGCGCCAGGGGGAGCTGACCCAGGGGCAGACTCCCAGGCAAGGCTGACCCGCCTACGTGCGTGCTGACGGACCCCATGACGGTGGGGCCCAAAATAGCCTCCCCCCCAGGCCTGCACTGCTTTCACTCTCGGAATCCTGCTGCGCTGCTTGAAATTCCGCCGTGAGAGTGGCGTCTTGGCCGAAGCGGTGGGAGAAAAGGTGCTCTTTGGGTGCAGGGCCATGAGCCATTGGAAACAGGAGGGTGACAAACAGCAACGACAATTCTCATATTTGGGGCTTTTCGAAGCATTATCCCATTTAACCCTACAGCCACCCATGAGGCAGGCTTAATGTTACCCCTATTTTACCGATGAGGAAGCGGAGGTTTAAGAGATGTGAAGTAACAGCTGGGATCCAAACCATAGTCTGAACGGAATGGGGCTCTTGCTCTTGAAATGCCCTAGTTTCTTGCTCTCTGCCCTCCTACAGAGCCCAGTAATATTGTGAACTGTATTTCAGTTACATCGTGGCTTACTTGCTAGCTTCATTTAGAAGATTGCTCCTATAGGCCAGTGGCCGGCAAACTGGGGCTAGCAAGCCACATGCGGCTCTTTGGCCCCTTGAGTGTGGCTCTTCCACAAAATACCACGGCCTGGGCGAGTCTATTTTGAAGAAGTGGCGTTAGAAGAAGTTTAAGTTTAAAAAACGTGGCTCTCAAAAAAAATTTCAATCATTGTACTGTTGATATTTGGCTCTGTTGGCTAATGAGTTTGCCGACCACTGCTATAGGCAATTTTATGAACATGCCACTAACAGGAGGAACATAATCCCGTTATATTACAACAAGCTGTGGGTGACCTGTAATTACAGCCCAACAACCTCCACGTTTCCTCTAGCCGCTTCCAGTCCCACAAACAAAGCCCACATTACCAGTCCAGGGTTTTCCCATTTACTCTTAGTTAACATAAATACACCACCCATCTATCGCTTCATATAGCTACCAAATGGTACCGCACCCCTACACACTGGATAGTATGTCCCATGAGGGCAGGAGCCCTGTCTTCTATGTGTACCAAGGGTTCCCCAGCACCGAGGACAGTGCCTGGCACAGACAGCCACACATGAACTCTTAAGTGAATCATGCTAGTAGATCACAGCTTCTTAACACCACACACACTTGGTGCCTTTTCTGTGAAACACCGTTAGAGTGAGCTGTCACCCACAGCTGAGACCCTGTATGTGACTGTGAGGAACTAATGCATTCACACAAACTGTGCAAGATGGTTTTAGTCCACAGTTGACATCCTTCCTCTCACATAAAGGGTTCCCCCCAAATAGCAAACCAAATACTCTCTGTGGTTTGGGGAAACTCTGGCCCCAGCTTCGGCGGACCTGCCTCCTGCCTCCCTGGGACTCTTGGGCAGCCTGCCTTGGGGGTTTCCTTGTGACTCTAAAGTGGGATGCCCTGTGAGTTCCACCTTCCTCATGCCCACCTTAATCCTCTTTGGAGAAGAGATTGGCAAAAAGCAACATGAAAGAACAAAGGGAGCCAAAGGGAAGAAGAGTCTTGGATGCCCCACAAGGAAAATCACAAGCCCGTGGGTTTCTACATGTTGGAAGTTGCTATAGGGGGCGGCCACAGCCCATTTGCTTTGTAGCCAACCTCTAGGGAAGCAAGGGAGCCACTGACCACTTCTCCTTGGGCAGTTCATCCTCGGAACAGAATCCCGACCGCTTCACGGACACTGGGACCAGCAGGACACAGGCAACGCCAGGGCGAGTACATGGACGGGGCACAGCCCAGTCCCTTCTGAGCGTCACAGAATGTCTGGGGCGGCGTCAAAGAGCCGCCACTAAGTTACCACGTGAGAGAGGAAGAGCGGCCAGGATTTATGGCACCTTATAGTTTCAAATGGAATAAGTGACTTAATGTTTTTCTGCACAAGCCTTACCCAGCGGCCCGGTGTACAGTGCAGGATATAAATGTCAGCGCCGGGCAGGGCCGCGCTGACATGGTGGAGTGCTCAGAGCCTGCACACTGTCAGGATCCCGCTTTCCCTGTGCTGACAGCTTGCTACCGGATTGGACATACCTGGAGAGAAGTCCGTCTGGCTCAGGAGGCGACCCCGTTTCTCTGCAACTTTCCTCTGAGATCTGCGGGGTCTTCCCACAGAGACAGCAGCCCTGGGCGCTCTGCTGGTTCGGATGTAAGTGGAGGAGTCAGAATCCTGTCCACTGCGACTCAAGATTCGTTTTGGAAAGGGGAAGGAATCTCTCCCGCCCCTAACAGGCTTCCCCTCCTCCCCGGTCAGCAGGGACAATGCTACCTTGCTGTGTGATTGGTGGTACCTTGGAGGCAGATTTCCGTAGGGTCTTAGCAGATCATAGTGATTCTAATCCTGACTGCACATCAGACTCACCCGGGGAAGACCAAACCTCCAGGTGCCCAGGCCACCCCCAGACCCATTAAGTCCAAACCTCTCAGGTGAGGCCCAGTGTCAACAATCCACATTCCCCCGGTGATTCCAAAGAGCAGAGCTCTCTTAGGAGACTTTCCCGCCTGAGGGCCAGGGGGCAAGACTCGAAGCCACTGGCACTTGGGAGAAGAAAGTCCTTCCTTTCCTGTACAGTTTTAAATTGTTTATTGAGTTCTCAAGCAAGTAAATGACGGGTCCAAAGTCACAGAGTCCGTGGGAAGCAGAGCCAGAACCAGGCGCCAGCATTGACTGAGCCCAGGTGGGCGGGACACTGGTTTGCTACTGAGGGCTCCAGGAACCAAGGGGCTGCATCCCTTGGCAGCCACTGTCCCCTCCGGCACGGCCTGGTGAGAGAACGATCGTCTGCCACGGGGCCTCCGGGCCTCCGGCCTAAGCTACACGAATGGATGAAACGCCACGTCACTCACGTCACTCACACGGCGCTATGTGAGAGACACTGGTCCTGAGGGGCATTTTACATGGAAGGTCGGATTGCAGAATCATTCACAGAGACGCAGACGGAAACGCGCGCCGGAGACCACAGCCTTTAAGAATAGGTTTCTACTGTACAACCGAGTGACGGAAACTCTGAGAGCAGATATGTTAATTCCAAGGAGTCCAGCATGTCCTCTTTCTCACCTAAGTCACTCTTGAAGTCCTCCTTTGCCTTGAAAAAGGAACTTTTGGGGGACGGCCGGCAGAAGATGCTTTTATTGTTGTCAAGAAGCATATAATAAAGGCACCCCATTTCCCAGGCTGTTCTCAGCCCAAGGCTGCGGGGTTTGGGGGACTCTTGCCACACAGCTGACTTGTGGGGCCACTTGTGCTGTGCCTGTGACCACAGAATATTTCAAGTGCAAAGTAGCTGGGTGGGGGGGGGGTGGCAGGTGGGGGGAGGTGGGAATCACGGGAGGGGGAGTAGCCAGGGTGACCTGGCTGTCTTTGGGGATTGTATCAAATGTTATGATACAATCCTTACCTACATCCTCCCTCCCCCCTCATGACCTCTAACCTGTAATGCAGCATGCCTGGCTTCGGGCAGCAGACACGCTTCTGAAGAGCGGAGGGTGAAGGAAACCACAGCTGACGCCTGAGAAAGAGCCCGCTAAAACACCCGGGAGAGGCGCCATCCTGATGGGTCTTCTAACCTGCACAGCCTGGTTTCTCGTCTTAGGAGTGAACACTGCCATGTGTGGGGTGGACGGCAGCGCGCCCCCAGTTCCGGCCAGCCGGTTACCCTGTGTTTCTAGTGCAGGCCCTTGTCCCAGCAGACCTGACACTGCCCAGCTCTTGCTCCAGCAATCCTGTCCCTCCCGGGCTTCCTCTGATGCGGGTTTGGCTAATGAAACTCCAGCTTCTCCCCTGGCAAGGACGGTTTAGGAGGGAGATGCAATTGCTTTCAGGCAAAAGGTTTGGAAGAAAGGACAAACAAAACAAAATGTACATGTATGTGTGTGTGTGTGTGTGTGTGTGTGTGTGAGAGAGAGAGAGAGAGAGAGAGAGAGAAAGAGAGAGAGAGAGAGAGGGAGAGAGAGAGAGAGAGAGAGAGAGAGAGAGAGAGAGAGAGAGAGGACTGTGTTCTGTGGCTGGTGGCCGTGGTCTAGATGTCTGTCCATCTGAAAGCCAAACGCACAGCCTACCACGTGACCTCCCTTGTCCTGGGCAAACCGGCCCATGACCCCCACAGCCTAGGCTGGCCTCTGGGCAGCGGCCTGAAGCGCCTGCGCTGGGCTGGCCGGTCGGGTGCTTGCGGGCGGTGGGGGGGATACTGGGGGGTCCGCCTGGGCCCCCGCGGGGAGGGAACGGTTCTTACAGTCACTGCTCAGCGCGAAGGGCGCGCGGCGGCCGGGGGAGCGGTCTTCGGCGGGCGCCTCGGGAGGCCTCTTACCGGCGGGCAGCGGGAGGGCGGACGCGGTGTGCAGCAGCGCCAGGCAGACAGCCACCACATCCCATAGCTTCATCCTGCAGTCCCGGCCGGCGGCACCTGCCCGCGGGAGAACCGAGAGCGCGGTTAGCCGGGGCCCTGGCACAGCCGTCCCGCGCCCCCCACAGCAGCCCCTCCCTCCGAGGCCCGCTCCCCCCCCTCCAGCCCCGGGGCGCTCTGGGCCCCTCCTCCTCGCTCCCCTCCAGGTGCGACCCCAGCGACCCTCTCTCAGGTTCCACATGCAACCGCCTCTCTCTTCGGGTACCCTGCGCCCGGGTCTTATTGACCAGGGCCTCCCCCATCGGTCCCCAAACGACGGCTCCAAGACCCCGGGGTACTTCAAGGACGCCAGGATTCCTAGCCAGCCCCTATTTCTGTCGCCCCCGCCCCCCTCCCATCCTCTGGGGGCGACCAGGAAGCCCCCACACTGCGTTGTGCGCCGCCCCAGCCAGAGACCTCTCCAGACAGCCTCGGGGAGACCGGCTCTCAGCCCAAACAAGTGCCCAGATCCTGTATTTTGGCACAAAAGCCGGCGCCCCTGCGCCCCGGGTCCGGATCCTGAGCCCAGCCGAGCGGACCCCATGGGCCGCCCCCACCCCAGCCCACCTGTTTGGCGGTGGGAACCAGGAGTCAGCAGGGACCGGGAGGCTGTGGGCCGAGGTGGGATTATCGGTATTAAGTTACATAACTCCCCGAGGCGTCCACTCGGTGTAAATGCTCGTTCCCCCTCTGGAAGGTATGCGCGTTCACCGACGTGTGCAAGAGCCCCAGGAGCACGGAGCGGGCGCGCCCCGGGCCGCAGCGTGGGGGGGAGGGGGGAAGAGGGGGGCATGAGCCTCCCGGCGCCCCATCATGTCACTCCTGGACCATGTACCCGAGTCCTGGCCTGTGTGTGTGTGTGTGGGGGGGGGGGAGGACAGGTGGTGGCGGGGGGATGCACCGGCCTCGGAAGGCCTAGGCCGCCATGAGTGGGGGACTCCTTTAGGCTTCACGGCCCTCACCCCCCAGAGGAGGCCCGCCACCCCAGAGAGGAGGCCCCGCCACGCGGGACGGGCCAGGAAAAGGCTTGGTCAACTCGGGGCCAAACTCCACCCAATTAGGAGGTGGGGAGGGACGCCGGCACCCCGGGGTGCGTGTCACCCAGAACCTCCCCAACGCCAGCGTTCCAGTTCCTATGGGAATTCTCAAGTCGATTATCCCCTCTCCTCCAGATAAAACGGGTTCTAGGAAAACCCCCGAAATTCTCCCCCGGGGGAGAGCAAGGCGGTTTCCAGGTGGTGCCAGGGCCTGCCAGCCTGTTCCCCCTGAGTTCCCGGGATCCCGCCTCCTCCGCCGCCGCCCAGCGCTCCCGACGGGGGTCCCTGCGGCCGCCCCGGCAGCGCCTAACTCAGCAGCCCCCTCCCGCCGCGGAGACGGTGCAGTCCCCCCAGGGCGGCGGCTGGTCGCCACGCAGCTGTGGGCTCCGGGGGCGGCGGGGACTGGGGACTCGGACCACCTGCAGCCCCGGCGCCGGGGAGAAGGGGAGGCGCGCGGGCCCGTGGCCCCGACCCAGGCCGGGCGCCAGGACTGGGGGCGCGGGCATCGGGGGCGCGGGGCCTGGGGGCGCGGGGACCGGGGGCGCGGGGACCGGGGGCGCGGGGACCGGGGGCGAGGGGACCGGGGTCGCGGGGCCTGGGGTCGCGGGGACCGGGGACGCGGGGCCTGGGGGCGCGGGGGCCGGGGGCGCCAGGCGTTCGGCCCCCTCCCCGGGACCAGCTCCCCGGTGCGTGGCAGGTGGCCGGCGGCCCCGAGGAGCGGGCAGGCGCGGGGCTAACGCGCCATCGGAAGCCGAAGAGGCATCAGAGTCTCTTCCGCAGGAACAGGGGCTCTCCTTGTCCCCGGCTCGGCCGACGGAGCGCTTTTTACACGGGAAGTGGAGCTCCCAGTGAGAAGCCTGGCGAGGCCGGCAGAGAGGCGCCGGAGGAGAGACTCCGCCCGCGGCCGGTGCGGCGCGGGCCCCCAAACAGCGGTCCCGCCAGCGGCCTGGGAGGGCGGACCCCCCTCGGAGCGCCGCGGGGCCGGCTCTCCAGCTCCCGGAGGGGGAGGGGGAGGCGGTCTGGGGCCTGGGCACCCGCAGCGGCCTCCAGGGAGGCATTCTCTGCGCCCTTGGGCCCCCGCCCCGCCCGCCCGCCCGCGCCGTCCCTGCAGGTCCGGATCGCTTTCTCAAAGCACATCTGCCCGACGCCTTCCTGCCGCCCTTCCCTGCGCCCTTTCCTCCTGCTGAACCAGCCGCCACGCGCGCCCCAAGCTCCTCCCGAGCCGGCCCGCCGGGGCCTCCGCACCCCTCCTTGTGCCCCGCAGGCCGTCCCCGCAGGGCCGGGTGGTCCGTCCTTCCCGCCCCGGAGCTGCGGGGCCGCAGAGGCAGCCGCTCGCCCGGGCGCTGCTGAGTTCCCGGCGCCAGGGGGCGCCAGACGCCGCCGCGGCCCGCGGGAGGGGAGGCCGCACTGGCACTTTCCTAGGACACCGGCCCGTGAACGAGCGCTCCCCTCCCACCCGCCCCCAAATCCACGCGACTCCCCGGAACTTGAGTGCCCTCGCCAGCACCCCCGCTCTCCGGGCCCCCGCCTCTGCATCCTCTCTCCCTCGTGTTTCTCTGTTCGCCGCACCGGGGCTGGTTTTCCCCGAAACCTACAGTGAGAATCCTCCCCCGATTCCCGGCGTCGGGGTGACAGCTCCGCCGCCAGAGCCTCCGCGCCTTCCTGCGTCCGGCAGGCGGGAGGCCCCTTTGGGCTCTGCCTTCGGGACCCAGGTCTCAGGGAGAGAAGAGGGGGTGGCGCGGGGTTTGCCTTTGGGTAAGGACCGAAGATGCTGGAATGGATTGCTTTACCTCCCTGTGCCTCCCCCCCCCCCCCCCCCCGAGGTCCCACTCTCCCCGCGCTGGGACCCCAGACCGGGGGAGGGGAAAGCATGAGGGGCGCTTTCCGGAGACAGTCTGGAGAGGGGTCTTTCTGCTAAAAGGCCGGGTTTCAGGTTCGGGGTCACCTGAACCCCTTGCGAGAGTGGGGGGCGAGGACGCAGCGGGCCTCCCGGACACCCAGCACTTGTTGAAAGGGCGACTCTGTCCCTCCCTCCCCTCCAGAGCGAAGGCTTTGGGGAGGAGCTCGGTGCGGGGTCTGGAAGCGGTATCCCTCCCTGGGGCACTGGGAGCGCAGATTCAAACCCGAGGAGCGGGGCGCGGACACCCCGGGGCGGAGGCCGGAGCCACGCCGGGCCAATGCGCGGAGCGCGGGAGTGCGGGGTCCGCAGCCTCCCCCCGGGGCGCGCCGCTCTGCGGGCGGGTTTCCCAAACCTGGGGGCGCCGAAGGCGGGTGGGGTGGGGTGGATGGTGGGGTGGCCCAGCCAAAGTACCTTCCCTGCCGTGAGGAGGGCCCGTGTTCACCGGGTGGGGCTGGAAACCAAACCGCGAGGAAAGCTGCCTCAGGGGAGGCAAGGTGGTGGCGGTGGTGGTGGAGGTGATGGTGATGGTGGTGGCGGTGGTGGAGGGGGTGGTGGTGGAGGTGGTGGAGGTGGTGGTGGCAGTGGTAGAGGGGGTGGAGGGGGAGGTAGAGAGGGTGGAGGGGGTGGAGGGGGAGGTGGTGGAGAGGGTGGAGGGGGTGGTGGTGGAGGTGGTGGTGGCAGTGGTAGAGGGGATGGAGTTGGTGGAGCTGGTGGAGGGGGTGGTGGTGGATGGGGTGGTGGTGGAGGTGGTGGAGGTGGTGGTGGCAGTTGTAGAGGGGGTGGAGGTGGTGGAGGTGGTGGAGGGGGTGGCGGAGGGGGTGGTGGAGGTGATGGTGATGGTGGTGGCGGCTGTGGTGGTAGAGGGGGTGGAGGGGGAGGTAGAGGGGGTGGAAGGGGGTGGTGGAGGGAGTGGAGGGGGAGGCGGTGGAGGGGGTGGTGGTGGAGGTGGTGGAGGTGGTGGAGGTGGTGGTGGCAGTGGTAGAGGGGGTGGAGGTGGTGGAGGTGGTGGAGGGGGTGGTGGCGGAGGGGGTGGTGGAGGTGATGGTGATGGTGGTGGCGGCTGTGGTGGTAGAGGGGTGGAGGGGGAGGTGGTGGAGGGCGTGGAGGGGGTGGTGGTGGTATGGGGAAGTGGCACAGGGCACAGGAGAAAAGAGAACATTAAAATGAGGCCTTAGGGAGGTCCCAGTGTGTGTTGGAGGTGGAGGCCCGCGTCCTGACCTGGCCAGGGAGGCCCTCTCCTAACCTGGACGGGACGGGTAGTCGGGGTTGCAGGCTTTGGCATCGTTCCGGCCACGGGGCTCCGAAAAGGGCGAGGACTGAAGCCCGCCGCGCCCGGAGGAGGGGAACGCTCTTATGTTAGGTCCCCAGCGCCTTGGCGGGGCCCTCGGAACGGACGGGACCGGGTCACCAGGAAGTTTCCCCTCCCAGAGCCCGTCCCCGGGGGACTCTCTCCCATGGCAGTGGGTCCGGAGATGACCCCCAGCCGCGCGCTGGACAGCAGAGCGCCCCGCCGAGCCGAGGAGGAAAACTGCCCCTTCGAACATTCCGAGGTGCACGGGCACCACATCTCCGCTCACGTGGGAGGGCAACTTGCCCCTCCGCAAAGCCGGCCTCTCCCGCGTCCAACTTCTCTCCCTCCTGGTCGCCCTGGTTCCCTCTAGTCTCTCCCCTGCCCGATCCCGCCGCTGCCCCGGCTCCAGCCGCGCGCCCTTCCTCCCGCCTCCGGCGCCCGCTGCCCGCCGTGCCCGCCGGCGACTCCAGGCACCGCCCGCCCCCTCCAGCCCGGGCCCGCGCCTCCACTCACCTCGGCTCCGGTCTCCGCAGACCCCCGGCGGGACATTAACTCCAGGAGCCCCAAGTCCCAGCCAGTGCCCCCATCCGGGCCGCGGGCAGGAGCGCGGAGCTCCGCCCCACGGGTCGGGGGCGCGACGGGTTCCTGATCCCGGGGCCGCGCGGGGGGCGGCGGCTGAGGCTCCTGCTGCCGCCGCCGCCGCCAGGAGGGCGAAGGATGCCGACAGCTCCCCCGCCGGCCCCCGCGCCCCCGGAGGCCGAGGTCCGAGCCTGGGGTCGGGGGCGGCACGGCCGGGGCTCAGCGGTGGTGGCCGCGCTCGGCGCCCTCCCGGGGCGCGGCGCCGGGGAGCACGGGCCGGGCCGGGCGGGGGCGGCCCCCGCAGCGGAGGTCTGGCCTGGAGATCCGATCGAGGCACCGCGTCAGCCAGCGCAGGGCGCCTCTTGAAGACATGAGGGCGCCCGGGGCGCGGGCTGGTCCTGGGGAGCCGGGCCCGGGGCCCGGGGGGCCGGGCGGGGGCGGGGAGCGCGGGGCTGCTGGAGGGGAGGGCGGGAGGCGGCGGTGGAAGAGGTGAACGGAGAGCAGCAGCCAGGAGGCGCCCGAGCTCCCGCGGCCGGGGCTCCGGGTGCGAGTGGGCGATGCGAGGCGCCCCTCCCGGGTGCAGGGCGAGCGCTCAGCGCCTGAAGACGCCGCCGGGCTTCCTCCTCCTCCTCCTCCTCCTTCTCCTCCTCCTCTCGGGCCGATCCGGAGGGGTGTGCGGGGCGCGGCGCAGTCCCGCCGGAGGGGGCGATCCGAACTCGGCTGCGGCGTGCGCCCCGGCTGCGTCCCGCGCGCGGAGGGAGGGCGCGCGGCCGGGCGGGGGGCTAGCGGAGCGGTGCTCCCGCCGGTGGCCTGTGGCCTGTGGCCGGTGGCCTGTCCAAGGCTGTCCTTCCTCCTCGGGATCCAGCCCTCGGGCTGCTCTGCGGGCAGAAGAAGCTGCGGGCGGAGGAGAGGTGTGGAGCCGCCGGGGAGGGAGCCCAGGGTTTGCCGGGGGACTCGGAGAGCCGGGGTGCATTTATAGGGCGCGCACTCCGTGACGTGCCCTCCCGCGGCTCCTCTGATTCGCTTTCCGACCCAAACACACATGAGTTGAGTCCCATACGGGGCCAGCACGGCCTCCAAATATCTGCTGGCTGAAGTCAGAGGCTTTGCATATCATGTATTACATGGCAGGCGAGGAAGGAGGCTTCTGAGGCTGGCCGGCTCCTCCGTCCTAGGCTCCATTTCATGCTGTGGGAACCCAATGCCAGGCGCGGGGTGGGCACAGACATTCAAAATCCCGACTCCAGAGGCGCAAGATCCCTGGATGGGGAACAGGGCAGGGAGGGTTAGCTAAACTGGCTCTCATCGAGATTAAAAATAAATGTAGCTGGGACCCTAGGTGTCCCATGGGGACTGAGCTCCAGTGTGTGGGACACAGCTCCGGTCCCCAATCTCCAGGAGACCCCCTAGACATGCCTTTTGGGGGTTAATTGCCACCAGTAGCAGCAAGAGCCTTCTTCTGTAGAGGCGCTGAGGAGGGCAAGTCCTCGCACCCTGCAACGGGCTTCAACGGGGCTTCATTCGCACAGGGCAGGAAGGGAACTCCACCTTTAAAACAAGGGCCCACACCAGGTATGTCTGCTGAGCAGAATCCCGCTCTCCGGAAGCCACCGGGCCTGCGTTCAGAGGGACCTCGTTGGTGTTGTTAGCTGGAGCCAGGGAAAGCGTAAACAGGCTCAGTTTACATCCAGGGACCTCTGCTTTGATGACTCATCCGGTTGTTGGGGAGTATGTGATCCTTAAGTCGCTGATACAGACAATAGGCCAGGGGAAATGTGTGTGTGTGTGTGTGTGTGTGTGTGTGTGTAAGACCACATATTATTACATGTGAAGGTCAAAGACCAGCCACTCTGGAGGTTTGTCAGGGAACCTGGTGTGGGAGGGAGACGGTTCTTGCTGTCGTTCCTGTGGTTTTTAGATTCAGGGGAATGGAAGCCGACTCATCCACACGCACTGTGGCTGACAGGAGGATGCTCACCACGGCTCCTCGGAAGGCGCCGTGTCCTGTGGTACACACATGGCAGGATGGATTTGGAAATGGGAGGGTGGAATAAGCTTAATCCATTTATCCTGGTTTAGCACGGTTTCTGGAATGCGCAGGCCACACGCGTGAGTGTTCTAGCTGTGAATGCTTTCGTTTTCAGAAAGGTTTTCACCGAGGATGGTCATGCCACCCAGACACCTGCAGTGATTTGGCGCTGGTTCCGTGCCAGGCAAAGCGCTGGCCCCTGCGGGTTGTGTTGTCTGGGGCTGCGAAGAACAGAGAGCCCCGAGTTTACCCCAAGTCACGGGAGTTTGCTGTGGAAGCAGGGCTGACCGGAATCTCCACCACTCGGCCACGTGCCTCCGAAAAGCCTTCCGGACAGGCCACTCGGCCAGGCCGCACGAACACTGGATTGAAGTTCAGGAACTGGAAGGTCATTCAGGATACAGAGCTGTGCCTGGGTTATCTCGCTGCCCCTAAGCAGCAGGCGCCTGCCTCCGATCCCTCCTCACGGGCTTAGCCAGCTCCTCTCTCTCTCTTGCTGTTTTTCTCCGGGCGTCTCTTGGCTTCTGCTCCTGCTACCAACTGCTCAGCTCTCTGTTGATCTCACATTTAAACGCCTGTAGTGGACGGATGTAATGGGCCCTGCTGGGCACTAACCAGGTGCTAGAGTTGGACTGAGCTTTTGTGTCAGGCCTCCTGAGGGTCATGGGACACCCTGTAGGCTCTCTAATCGCCCAGGTCCCCGTTGTCCGGCCCCGGGGTACAGAACTGGGCCATCTTTGCTTAAGACTCTGCCTAGGGCTTCTCCATGTCTTCCTTCCACAGGATCTGTGCCCCCATGGCAGGCACTTGGGGTTTGACAAACTTCTGTCTCTTACAAGACTCACGGCTGACTGAGATTCAGCTCCCGGCTCTCCCTGAGCTGGCCGCCTGTAAAGAGAGAAAGCCACCTACACACGTGAGCGTAGGGTAAGGTGACCAGACGTCCCGTTTTGGTGGGACAGTCCCGCCAAAATCGGGATGTCTGGTCACCTTAGCGTAGAATGAAATGAGAAATATCCTAATAAAGGTCCGTATGAGCTGCTCAGAGGTAATCTCCATATGGTCAGCAAAACCCTGGGAAGGAGACAAACTATACCCCCGTCTCAGCCCTGAGCCTCAGTGACTACATGTGAATCTCTTGGACAGTGGAGTCCAGGGGTTGGTGTTTTCAAAACATTGAAACGTCCCCCAGGTTGTTCTTTGTAACCACAGAGTTGAGGTGGCAAGTAACTTGGTTTCTTTCAATGATCATGACCACTTCATGATTCTTTTTCAGAGCAAGACTATAAAAAATGCTCTTGTTTTGGTAGATTCTAGGGCTGGCTGTACCAACATAGTAAATTCCTTTAGAAATACTACTAATCATCTTGAAACAGCAATAGAAAAAAAAAAAAAAGGAAATGTTAATTTAGAGATAAAGCAAACACTGCTAGTTCTGAGAGAACACTTACTTGCATTTTTACAACATCCCGGTGGCTACAGCAAAGGGAGAAGACCTGAAATGCTGTTCAAGCTCTCCGTCTACAGAGCCCGCATTGAAATGACTGTCATGGACATTGACAAGCATCTGCTCAGACCCGCCTGCACAGACAATGAAGAATAAGTTCCTCCGAAGTGATGCCGGAAGGAAGTATTGGGTGTCCTGGGGACAGGGCACAGCCAGATCACAATGTCAAAGCTGAAAGTTGGGGCTGCTGTAGTCCTGCCTCCTCTTTTCCTGGGGAAACAAAGTATGTTGGGTTTGAAAGTGTCGCTCTGGGAAGTCCAGAGAGAACAGCCTGCAGCAGCACTTCTGTTCTGAGCAGGTGGATGGTCCTGTGATAACGGACCTCAGCCCTTCCTCTGGAAACGCTGCCTGAGCACCAGACAGAGAGAAGCTAGCCTCGTTCCAGCATTTCATCTCCTCCTTCAGGAAAAGGGTCAAAATGTCACTCATTTCCCATTGTCTTCGTCTTCCCTGGAATTAGTGGTGAGTCTCCAACGGAAGGGTGTCTAAGTGATGGGTGCTCTCTGTGCTGGAGGATCTTTGGGTGCTGAGGAAGAAGAGAAAACACAAGCATAAAATGAGAAAAATAATACAGGAATGGGCTAGGACAGTGGTGGGCAAACTGTGGCTTGCGAGCCACATGTGGCTCTTTGGCCCCTTGAGTGTGGCTCTTCCACAAAATACCACAGCCTGGGCGAGTCTATTTTGAAGAAGTAGTGTTAGGAGAAGTTTACGTTTAAAAAATGTGGCTCTCCAAAGAAATTTCCATCGTTGTACTGTTGACATTTGGCTCTGTCGACTCATGAGTTTGCCGACCACTGGGCTAGGCACCTTGAATACCTATTACCATTTTTGAAACTCGAATGAGGCCTTGCTTGATAGGTAAGCAGAGGGGGAGGTCACGTGGGGCGTTCCAGGCCAGGTGGAAAGGGTCTCTGGGGACTCCACGCGGAGTGCTGCAGCCTGCAGGGCGGTGGGGCTGAGGGTCAGCCTGTGCCATTCACAGAGCCCCTCACGCCTCCCAGTGGGGCTTTGCAGCTGCTTTGCCGATAAGGGCCAGGACCCAGGTCCCTGGACTCCCTCATAACCTGGGTCATGACGGCTGAAACGAAATCCATCACTTGGGCAGGGCAATTTCCTTTTCAAAGTCACCACTTTATTGGGCAGGGATTTGTTTCATGCTCACTCACTCTTTAGCAGTCATTTTCACCAGTCACGCTATTCCAGAGGAAAGACAACTCTGCTGTCCTTCAAGGAAGAGGGAGAGAGGGGGTGGTTGGTGGTGGACCGCAAGGGCCCCTTTGCAAAGTGGCAGTAAGACGCATTTTTTGGAGTGAATTGTTTTCTCATGAGAAATCGATTCTGACATTGAGATGGTAGGTTTGTCAGGGATTTCCAGCAGTTTCTTTTATGAGGATCATATTGTCTAATTATCCATTCATTTTGTGTTTGGCTTTTGACATAACTTTATGAGACCCCCCTCCTTTTTCCCCCAGAAAGAAAACTTGAACCCAGTAAGGCGGAAGCAACACCTGACTGTTGCTATGCAGATGTTTTAGAGGCTGAGATCTGGGGTCGGCAAGCTTTCTGCGAAGGGCAAGTGTTTTCTGCACAAACAGGACTTGCTGGCCAGACAGTCTCTGTCATAACCACTGGGCTCTACCCTTGCATTGCAAAAGCAGCCACAGATAGATACATCCTTGGATGCGCTGTGCTCCCAGAAAACTCTATGGACACGGAATTTTAGTTTTCTTTAATGTTCACCTGTCATGAAATACTGTTCTTCTGATCCCCCTCTCCCTCCCAACATTAAAAAATGTGAAAACCATTCTTAGCTCGTGGCCCATACAAAGGTAGGCAGGACTTGGCTATGGTGTGCTGGTTCTAGCTGGGTGAGAGTTGCAGCTTACAGGAGATGTACCAACTCTAGAATTATGACATCCCAGACCTGGAAGTTTCCGAGGCTTCTAGTCCAGTCTCTTCATTCAACCAGAGAGGAAACGGAGGCCCTAACTCCTGGTCCACTAATTAGGAGGTTGTCATGTCCATGACCAGGCAA